GAGAGAGAGAGAGAGAGAGAGAGAGAGAGAGAGAGAGAGAGAGAGAGAGAGAGAGAGAGAGAGAGAGCTGCCACAGAGGGAGACCAGTTTTCATGCAGACCCAGCTTCACTCCCCGAGACGAAGCGCGGGGCTCCGGAAGGGCAGCGTTTTTTAGCTTTAGGATATGTCCTTATGATGCTCAGCTCTGTCAGTCAACTGTGTTCCTATATTTCTTCCTTTCATCGGGCACTGGCACTGCTGGGGCTGGGTGGCGCCGAAGCAGACGATACCCGTTTGCTTCGTTCGACCTCCCTACGAATGGCCTTCCTCCACGAGGCGGCTGCTTGGATAGGACTGATGAACTCTAAGTCGGGCACATCGTTACTGCATCGAAAGCGGATCTTTCTCCTCTGCCTCTTCAGGTATCCCGTTTCCAGAGCTTCGAAGCTGAAGTCCATGGGATCATCCTCCGGGTCCCACACCAGATCCTTCAAGTGGATGCGAGATACTTCCGCCAGGACACCTCCCTCTTTCTCGGCATAGAGAAGCAGGCCCATGTCATCCTGAAGAACGCAAAGCCGCCGCTCCCAGGTGAAAGGAAAGGTGTTCCGCTGGACTAATAGCCAGCCCATCTTCAAAACGGACGGTTTGTTTTCAGCGGAGGAAGGGATTGTGGGATCCGGACGAGGGGCAACATAGAACGATGGCCTGCGCAGTGCTGTCAGATCGGCACCTCCTGAAGTAGCCCCGGCCGTCTTAGATAGAGCTAGTGAGAGTCTGGCAGTCTGTTTCTGAATCAACGTCACCCATTCGTCACGTCCTTCCACACTCCCAGCAAGGACGACGATGGTTTTGCGTATCTCCCCCTCCTTTCCCATTACCTTGGCATCCACGCCGAACATCAAATCTTCTAGTTCTAGCTGACCTGTCACTTTCAGATCGCGCAAGTCCTCCCTCTGCAACCACCTCACGCTTGACAGGTCGATTGTCCCAAGCGGAACAAGACGGCCCTCTTTTCCCTCGCGGTAGTATTTGAGACCGGACTCGTCCCTCAGAATGAATAGCCGCCAATCCCAAGTATTGAGACCTAGACGTTTCTTCCATTTCATCAGCCAACCCCTCTTAATCTCCAACGGTAATAGTTGGATCCCTGCACTGCTGTCTCCTCTTGCTGAGTCGCTACCGGTGATCGCCCCGGTGGCTGAAGGCAGCTTGCCCTTGCGTACACCACTCGTCTTTGAATGTACATTTTCCAGCTTTTGTTTGTCCGCTGCTTCCGAGATAATGGCCTCCTGCTCAGCTGAGTCCTCTTGCACTGGACTCATCCCCGAGCTACCCATATCCTCCGCGGGCGAAGCAAGATCCCCGCCGGTCGAACCCGCAGCCTTGGATTGTCCTTTCCCTCCTGCTTTCCCCCCCGTAGGGGCTATCAGGCCCCCTGTCATCGATGACCATTCCTCCGGGCGATCATTAGGAATGACAAAGGAACCAGTTATGGGCGAAGGGCTCTCACTTTGACTCAGCAAAGCGTTGGGGTCGTCGAATCGGAACTCTGGCGCTGCTGGTTCGACAAGCTGCTTCGACGTCTCTAGCTTTTCTAGCAAGCCCATCTGATTGAGATTGACATGTTTCGCCTCAGAGGCATCCTTTTTGACGCCAGACTCAGCAGCCACACCTGCAGTCTGCTGCTCAGCTCCGCTCTTCATCTCCTCCTGCGTATCCTCCCTCCCGTCCTTATCCTCGCTCTCCCTGTCGTTTTCCTCCTTCCCTTCTTCTTCTTCGCCCTCCCTTTTCTCCCCGTCCTCTTGTTTCTCCTTTCCTTCCTCCTCCTCGCCACCCTCCCTCGTCTCCTTGTCCTCCCCTTCGTTCCCCTTTTGCCCGTCCGCCCCCTCCACGACCTTCTCTTCCTGGTTGAGAGCTTTTGACGATTCACTTATCACGTCGCTTCCGCTTGTCTGATTGCCGGAATCACTGTTGCTCGTGTGGTCGCTAGCAACCCCCCCCGCTCCCTCTCCTCCCTGTTCTTTATTCTTTTCCAAGAGAGAAACGTCCCTGTCCGGCCCGGATCCGTCTACTGGCACCCCGATTCCTCCCTCTGTGTCGCCTCCGGCTACTTCGCTTTGGCCCGAATGGCCAGATCCGTGCGGCACTCCCTCTCCACCTCCCTGTGCTGTCTTCACTTCGTGATCAGTGCTCTCCTCTCTATTCTCGTCTTGTACCGGTCCGTGCCCCTCTCCTTCGTGGCCCCCTCCTCCTTCTCCTCCTTCTCCTCCTTCTCCTCCTTCTCCTCCTCCTCCGCCACGTCCTTCTCCTGCTGCTACTGCTGCTGCTGCTGCTGCTACTGCTGTTGTCACCACCTCCGCAGATGCTTCTGAAGCTGGTGTTGTTGGTTGTCCCGCACCTTCCTGGACAGTCTCATTCTTGACACCAACACCAACCCCTGCACCCTTGATGCTGACAACACGAGGCGTTATTCCCTCTCCATCCAAGTCTTTGGGACTAGCGGGGCGGAAATAGGACCTAGACACGATTGCATCCTCCAATCCTCCTTCGCCCTCATGCGGCCCTTCTCCGCGAGGCTCACGCGCTGTGCTGTCGTCGGTGAATTTCAATCCCCAAGAAGCACGCGGTGTGAACGCGCTTTCAAGCCGCCGACGGGGAGAAGACGTCGATGATGTCACAAGGGAAACGCTACTTTGGGGAGAATCATCCGCCGGAGTCGACTCATAACCTGCTTCTCCTGGGGTTCTTGACGGTGTCCGTGGCTTCTTCGGGGTTTTCCCCGGTGTCTTAGGCTGCTTCGGGGTTTTGCCTGGCGATTTAGATTTACGAGATTGGTTGCTGGCTCTCGCCGCTATCACTGCAGACTTCAGTTCTGCTGAGATGCTTGCCCGGTCTCCCTTTCCCTCCCCTTCTGTCGTGAGCTCCGCCACGTAATCGCCCTCTTGACTGCCGTGGCTCCCTTTATCTTGCTCCCCTTCCTCTGCCTCTCCTCTGCCCCCCCCCCCTTCTCCTCCACTTTGGCCTGTTTCACCTGCTGCTGATCCTTCTCTTTCTCCTCCAGGCTCGAAGCGGACTTTCTCCGGCGAAGCAGCAGATCGTTCCCCGCCTCCTCCTTCCTCTTGTTCGCCCCCTTCTTTCACCGCGGTCAGTTGCTCGGGAGAATCATCCTTAGTATGTTCCCCAGCATCTCCATCTCCCTTCAGGCCACCGCTGTCACTCGATGACTCCTTCTTCTTCTTCTTCTTCGCTTTCACATTCGTCCCGCTTGTTTCTTTGCTCGACTTCTTTCCCAACTTTTTCTTCCCGGTAACCTTCTTGCTCTTCTTCTTACGGGCTCCCTTCTTAGGCCCACTGAGCGAAGCTGCAGTGCTCGGCCTCCCTCCTTTGCGTCGCAATGCGCCAGCAGCCCCGATTGATTTCTTCTTCTTCTTCTTGAGTTTCGCTCCCGCTGTCCGCCGTCGGTTCTTCCCACGTTTGGAAGAAGTCCTTTCCACTCCAGTGACGTCAACGCTCTGCTTTTTGAGCGCCTTCGTCACCGTCCGGCGTTTCTTACCCCCCGCGCTTGCACGCTTCTTCGACAAGCTCGAGCTCCTCCCCTTTCCCTTTCTGCGCTTCACGCGCCCACTCCTTAATTTCGAGGCTCGCTTCGACTTTTTCGACACCCGCCTTAACTTGGGAGCCCTCTTCGATTTCGAGACTTTTCTTGATTTTGTTGAGGCTTTCCGCGATGGCGATGGTTCCCCTGAGTCCGAACCTCCGCGTGTGATGCTTACAATTTTGGATGCTTTCCGCGATGGCGATGGTTCCCCTGACGCCGAACCTCCGCGTGTGATGCTTACACTCACGGACAACCTCGACGTTGTCCGGATACCCTCGCCTACGTCACCTCCTTCCTCGTCTACCTTTCCTCCTATTGCGATTGCAGATTCGTCACCCGCGCCGCCCACACTAACTGTCAGCCCACCCCTGCTACGTCTTTGTGACGTCGCCCTCCTTTCGGCCCCCCCCAAGCGGTGCTTCGCATCTCCTTGGGCGGGATCCAGCAATTCTCTGCTATCCCTCCCCTTTCTGCTCGACACACTTCCACGCAGCCTCTCCGTCTTCTTGGCCTTCTTTTTCAAAATCTACAGTAGCTTTGCTGTCAAACCCGTCAGTACTCGCTCCTGTCCTCTCCGCCGCTCCCACCTTTCCACCCTCGCGTACTCCTGTTCCTGCTCCCCCCTTTTGTCCTCGACTTCCGCTCGCCCCTGCCGCTCTAGATGGTGGCCTTCGGCCCATCTTGTCGGTCGAAGTCTGTGGCTAGATTGTCATGACGGCTGCCTGGATGATGAGAAAGACAAACAACACCTCCTCTGGACCCATTGCCTTGACGGAAATCAGGCGAGCAGATAGTGCTGTCCCTCGCTTGCTCTGCCCATCTTCCATCCATATCCAATTACAATGCGGATACCTCACTGTCCTGTCTTCTTACTGCGCACCTCTCTCTCTCTCTCTCTCTCTCTCTCTCTCTCTCTCTCGCTCGCTCGCTCTCGCTCTCTCTCTCTCTCGCGCGCGCGGCAATGCGTGGGTGGGTGCGTGCGGGTGTGGGTCTCTGCGTGTGTGCGTGTGCGTGTGCGTGTGCGTGTGCGCGTGTGCGTGTGCGTGTGCGTGTGTGTATGTGCGCGTGTTCGTCAACTGAGACGGACTGAGGGACAATCTGCGGTACGCGAATCGGCTGGCTAGCGACCGAGCAAGACCAGGAAATCCCAGGGGGTCAATCTCTTCTTTGCCCCCCGCCGGAAGCTCATGCGATCTGCCGTGTAGATGGCATCGAGACACGCAATTATCCTTTTAACGGAACGTTACCTTCTGCTGAGTTCCGGCAGGCTCCATGTTGATTGGAATGTTGATTAATCCTGAGAGTCAGATGACCACGTTCAAGGACCACGGTGAAGGAAATTTTATGATTCGATCATAGGCGCACGATCGGAAAGAGCATCACCTCAGTTCAGCTCCCCTAAGATAACTCGCCTTGACGACAGCAGCTGAGCTGAACTCGGTTCAGATCGCCTAACTACTCACCAGCTGGGTCATTTCGGTTCATCGGTTGTGTCAGATCTCAATAATACGATTCAGCAGATCTCAGGATAGCTCCGGTATTATCTAAGCTCCCGTCGGGTTGGAATTGACATGAGATGGTGCGCCTCGATCCTGCTACATCCTCAGCGCGCTATCGCGACGAGAGATCGACCAGATGTCGAGGCGCAAACCGTGTTCGATGATCTTAGCGGGTTTATTTCGTTGTTCCGCCTGGCTCCCTTGCTTCTTCCATCGTTTGAAATTGCATTTTGTGTTGATTGCATTCAAAACACTTGAGATACCGTTCATCTTCCGCCGTTTCGAGAAATGCATCTGGCCAGGAGTCCCACGGCTAGAGCCGTGCGCAAACTTCTCTGTGGGATGTGTTCCTCGCTACGGGCAAGGTCCCACAGGAATCGGCCCGGTGCGCCGTGAAATAGCCCAGGTTCGACTTTTTGAGGTAGGCGGCCATTGGAAGCTCGTAAGCCCAGCCGGCAGATAGATAAATCCTGCAAGGGTAAACCGCAATCTAGGGCTGTGAGCGAACTTCTGGAAGGCTTGGCCCGCCTCTCCCCCTCCATGGTACTGCCCACAACCGGCAGAGTCCCACACTTCGCAGCGCTAAGACTGCGGTGAAGTTCGCAGCCCTGAGGGCTGTTCGCAGCCCGTCATCAGGGTTGCGCTTTCCCCCCCTGAGATTGATTGATTGTCTACCGCGTGGGCGCGGGGAACACAGCCCTAAGGTAGCCAAATCAATGAGACTAAGAGCTAACAAGAGAGAGAGAGAGAGAGAGAGGGAGAGTTTTGTTCCATTTATTGTTATGAGTGTGAGAGAGAGAAAGAAATAGAGAGAGAGGGAGGGGGGGCCCTACCAGAGAGAGAGAGAG